ATTTGGCATGGGTGGACACGTGGCGTGTCTTAAGTGGTCCGTGGAGGACGCGTGGCGGAACCTGGTTGGTCCACTTGTCAAACGGCGCTTGGTGGATAAAAATCCCCTAATCAGGAATCACCCAACAGTACTTTCTTATCATCGGTCTTTTCAGTGTATGTTTTAAACATCCGACGATCATAACAGACATGGCGTGTGGCACCAGTGTCTATCCACCACCCATCTGATCCACCAGTAAGGTTGATCTCAGTAATCATAGCCACAAAAGGCTCTTCAATCATGCTAGCCTGCGCAGGCACAGGGTTAGGGTTAGGGTTAGGCATGTTCCTGCACTTTCGTGCCATATGGCCTGGTTTTCCACACCGATAGCACAGAAATTGACCAGTACCATTCTTAGGGGGTTGAAACTGTTGTCTTCCATTGTTCTTTTGAACATTCGGTTTATTGAAGTTATTCTTCCGGTTCTGAGGTTTGAAATTCTTACCAGCAGGTTTAAGTACTGCAGCAGATCGCCTAGGAGCATTATTAGCAGAGATTTGTAAAATCTCTTCCTTTAGATCCTGTTTTCTGGATTCTTCTTCTATACGTAGCCGAGTGATCAAACTCTCTAAGGAGAATTCCTTAGTCTTATGCCTGAGATTATTTTTGAAATCTTTCCAGGAAGGAGGCAGCTTGTCAATAATAACAGCAATTTGAAATTGTTCATCAAGGGCCATACCTCCGGAAATTATCTCATGGGCAATTTTCTGAAGGTCGTGAGACTTCACTTCCACGGACTTATCATCAGTCATCTGGAATTTTAGGTACCTACTGACAGCATACTTTTTGGCACCTGCTTCTTCAGTATCATACTTTTTTTGTAGGGCATCCCACAAATCCTTAGCAGTATTTTCCATATTATAATAGTCATAGAGGTTATCAGACAGACCATTAAGTATATAGCATTTTCTGTTTCCATCTTTTAAAGTGAGCGCCCTCAAAACGAAAGGGCTTGTTAAGGTCAGCAGACATAGTCATTTCTTCGGTAGACATAGTGTTCACGAAGGCAGAAACGATTGTTTAAAAATTGTTATAAACGGAATTGCACAAATAAAATAGTAAGAACAATGTTACCGAGAATAAGACTGAGTCGCGGACTATGTCGCTCTCTTTAGAACATTCGCGGCACTGCCTCAAACTTGTGCAAGCAGCTCGTACCAAACCGGATGCCCCCAGGATAAAACAGTCTTTCACAAGTATAAAATACCGGCGGTTTTGCACCGAACCACCGGACAACGGAACACCAGAAAATCAGAAAGAAACTGCTCGACTGTTTTGAGAGGAAGAGAAAATATATTTTGCAAAGTGGTTTTCTGTATTTTTTTTTCGTGTATATAAAAACAAAGTTGGAACCGTCCTTTTATAGGTAAAGATACGTAACAGCTTAAGCATGAAAACGGGAGAAAGATTAGCAACGTTTACTGCAATTAGTGTATTCGTTAAGCAAGAATCAAGGCATTAAATCAGTGTAACGGTGCAACGTTTAGCAGTAAAACAGCAACGAGAATCAAGCAATGTAACGGAAAAATTTAAACCAAAACAGTAAAACGTTTTGTAACTGAATATTAATCAAACCGGTAACAAAAATTAAGTTTGTTTAATAACCCAAACCCGACCCAGCCCGGCTCGGCGCGCGTGTGTGTGATATATGGTTTACCATATAGGTCCTCCCTCTCCACAAAATGTGGGTAGCCCAAGGGCCACACCCCTTTAGCCCACTCTCTATATTATAAAGAGAGTAAAACTCTCATTTCCCACCAATGTGGGACTTTGAGTTTTTTCACAAAATTCACACACTACACACTTGTTGTTCCAACAATCCCTTTGTATGCAAGACTAGGAAAATGTATTGTTCTTACTTACAGCAGGCGATTTACTATATCAGGTTTTTCTTTGACGTTTTATCGAACATCAACGATGCATAAGACTCATGTGTACTGCTTATTCTAACACCCAACTCTGAGAATGACTCTTGGGAATTTTATTAAACACCTAGCATGCGTATCCCATTTTCGCTTGTTTTGAGTACATTTTCTATAAAACTCTCCTTTCTTAACATCTAGCTCGAATTTACTTAATTGGAATTCACAGACAGAGAGTTATACAACCATCCAAATGCAAAGGGGAAGGAAATAACATTGAAGTCATTCATGTTCCATAATAACTTCTTAAGTATGCAATTTCACAAGTATGCAGGTTTAGATTTCAAATCTATCATGGTTTCTACCAATTTCCCACACTTCTCATAAGATTAACGCAACATGCTTAATGCTCAAATTTGTGCACAAACAGAGATTAACAAGAGATAATATATGCAATGGTGAAGAATGTTGCCTGTTTTAGCAGAGTTGAATTTGGTTGCGGAATGCGTGGCAGCTCAAAGTTTAAACTACAAAGATGAAGCAGTGCTCCTGCTTGCTTCAGAGCCCATGACGGAGCTATGCAAAACCCCATTCACCAAACCTCATAGTACGGTGGCTCGCGGGCTACTTTGCTCTTTGTCTTCTTTTTTATTGTTATTTTATTTATTGGTGAAGATGTTCCTCTTATTCCACCAGATCTTGCAAATTGGTTGATCTGACTTTTCAGTTGTGAGTTGGTGTTTTTGAGCTATATCTAGTTGAACACGAGGTGAAAATATGTGATCTACTTTCCACCACCACCTTTGTTGGCGGCGGCGGGTTAAGCTTATCCTTCCCTCTCTCACTTGTTGGCCTTTAAAACTCAGCTGGCTAATGCTTCAAGGTCAGATTGGTTCGCCCCTCCTTCTAGCGCCAATTGTTTCCGGGTGTACTCCGATGAGAATATTCGAACCACTAACTGCACTGTTGGAGTCTCGGGTTGCTTGCTGGGGTCTCGGGCTGCCTGCTAGGACCTTGGGTTGAACCTCGGGAAACTCCGTCAGCACCATTGGAGGACCTACAAGAGAGAGAACGTAAAGCCCTCGGGGGTGGTTTCAAGGAACCCCCTCCGATGGCTAAGTAAGTGTTTGTCTTTTGGGAGAGTATAGAGCTTAATATGCTTAAAGAGAGAGAGAAAGAGAGAGATTCATCAACCCCCTTTTATGTGGCATATGTGGGGGTATTTATAGTGTATGATAACCCTAATTTCAGTGGTCAGCCTATGGCCGACTTACTCTGTCAGGCTGGCAGCCGGGAGCCTGGAGCTGACTCACCCTGGTCGGGCTGGTAGCCGGGAGCCTGGAGCCGACTCAACGGGCTCAAAATGGTACTCGAGGTGCGCCATCCCTAGAAGGGCAGAGAGCGGGAGATAGTTCAACAAGAACTACCCTATACAACTTTATTTTTATCAAGTTATGATTTTTTTGTTGATAAGATTTTAAGATGAATATTTTTAGATATATAATATTTACATAAATATTAAAGAGTGTGTATATATATATATATGTGGAAAATTTGTCAAATAAATCTTTTAAAAACACCATTTTGCGGAAAAAACCTTTTAAAGCGTTTTTGGCAAACAAAAACTTCCAATATGCAGTTTTTTGTAAGATGAAACCTGTATGAACTATTCCAGCATTAACTACGATTTTCAGGTATTGACTTCATTATTTTTGTTATTTACCCCTAATTGGCTGAACCTCACCAAAAAATTGAAACTCATGCCGGAGCAAAAAATTGTAATTAATTTCCGATTAATCAAACCTTCCTAACCACCAAGGTCCACCACTACTTCGCCAACTCACCGCCAATTTAACAACGAATTCAACAAAAAAATCCATTTATAAGTGAATGAGCAGTTCATTCACTCTTATGCATCAGTGCACCACCCACACCCCCAAAAATCCACACCACCCACTTAAAAGTCCAATTGACATCCCGATTATCCACTCATAATACCATAAGTTCATCCCTACCAGGCTACCAGCCAAAAAGCCTACAACCATTACCAATTGACTGCCCAGCCCTTGAAAATCCACCCCACCTACTTGAAAATCCATCCCCACCCTAAAAAAATCAGATCCAAGATATAGAGATGGTGCTCCTGTGAGATGCAATTGGTGGAGATTGGTTGAGAATTGAGGAAGGATGGTAGTTAGTGTTGGTGGATATGGGTGGAGATGGGTTTCTTTCCATTTTTAATTTTAATTACCCTTAGCTTTCTACTGGAAGAACAACACAATCGGCAACTGAAAGCTCGACCAGGTGAAATTCGACTTCAAAAAAATCGCAGTATTGGGTTCACAACCAAGGCAAGGTTTTCCAGTGGATGTTATGGCAACGAAGATTAGGAGGAGTTTTAGGATCATAGAGTGGTTTATGGTGGTGATTGTAGTGGGTTTATCGCCGGTAGTGTTGCCGAGTTTTGTTGGGATGGATAAGAGGGAAATAAGAGAGAAGGAGAGTGTAAATAGCAAATTAATTTGGTGCACATAAGAAAAAGAAATGGTCAATGCCTGAAAATCACAGTCAACGTCAGAATAGTACACACTAGTACACACTAGTACACACTATTAGAGTTGTTCATGGACGCGCTAAATCCGCCCAACTCGGCCCGCAAAATAAGCGGGCTTGGTCAACCGTTTTGAAAAAAATTGAAAATTTAGGCAGGCTAGGCCCGACCCGTTAATATAAATGGGCGGACACGGACAAGAGAATATGTACCGTGGGCTAGCCCGCCCGGCCCGTTTACTTCAAAAAGTAATAGTTTAATGATTTTTTAGTTAGTTGATTATGTAGTATATTTGAGAAAAATAAATACAAAGAGACTATATTGGACTCTAACCTATTATTAGCTACAACTATTTATTTCAATTTTATATTTAATCATTATACTTGTATTAAATAAGTTCATTCTTTCCTTTTTTTTCACTAACAAATGTCACAAGTTAAATATGTTTTTTTCTAGTATCATTAGTGATCAAGAATTTTTAAGATAATTAAATCGAAATAATATTAACATATGTAAATTATTAAAAAAAAAATAAAATTAGTGTTAGATATATGTAAAACAATTATTTTAGGCCCGTGAGCCCGCGGGCAAGCCCGGCCCGTTAATAGAGCGGGCTTGGACAATTTATCAAGCTCGCATAAAATGGCTCGGGTTAGCTACAATAAGCCCGTTGGACAAAAAATAAAGTATAGGCCCGGCCCGTTTCCCGTCCAAGCCCGCAAACGATCACCTCATATATATATATGGAAGTAGGATCATATGCGAACTACCTCCAATAATGCGAACTGAGAACTAATCCGAGCCGTCTATTGCGTTAGATCTGACTGTCTACACTTCACCCGCCTCATTAAGGGCAAAATTGTAAATTTTCACTTTGAATGACTAGATTCAATTGATTTGATTTCCATTTTTACTTTCTCTCTCTCATTTCATTTTCTCTCTCTTCCTCTGAATTCTCTCTAGTTCTATCTATCTCATCCTTTGAATTTTCTGCATTCTTATCGTCGTTGGATTTGCTGTTCTTCTTCGTTTTTTTTTCATTGCAAATTGATACGAAACAAGTAAGTTTTTTGATTGTGATGTTCTTGTGCTTAATTCAATTGTTGTATAATTGTGTGATTTTGTATGATTTCGAGTCTTAAATTAGGGTTTTTTTTGTTATTTTTAGTTTGAGCATTTTGCTATTTGGTTATTTTTGGTGAGATTTTGTTGCGATTCTTGTTGATCTTTCTTTCGATTTTCAAGTCTAAGGTAGAGAATTGAATTTAAATTAATCGTCGGTTTTCTGTAACTAGGTTTTCGGTTGAAATCATAGAAATTAATCTGATTTTTGCTAGAATTGTTCGATTTAGTGTTGTTAATTTATTTTGTGTTTAGAGTTGAATTGATTTTGGGGTTTTTTCTATTGATATTCAAGAATTAAGTTTTTGATTTTGAAATTCTTATTAAGATGTTAATTCTTTTCTACAATGATTTTAGTTGTTGATTTTGTGAAAGGTGCAAATTTGTACTTCGTTTTTTTATATTGATTGATATGCATTTATAAATGGTTTTTCAGGGGATAGTTTGATGGTGAATTCGATAATTGTGGATAGTTTTTGGGTGATTGTGGTTGGATTGGGTGCTTAAGTTTGGATTTTATGATTGGTGATTTATTGGAAGTTGTTGAATATAATCACAGGCTTACAACTTAGAGTTTATAATGCAATTGAGTTAAATTATATTAAGTGTCAACTGATATATTGTGGTTTCAATTGATATACTATGTATTAGGGATTTTGATATGTTTGGGTTTTTGCTATTACAGTGGTTGAAATTACAAAATTATCAATTATTTGTTAGAGAATATGTGAAATCAATTGATATATACGAAGTGTTAGATTATGTAATATACTTATTTCAACTTAGATGTTAGCAATTGTTTGTTTCTGTTGAGATATATAGTTGGAGGAAGCATTGAGAGCTCATTATTTTGTTGCCTGGTGGTGTTGTTGGCAGTAATTAAAAAAAAGGGAGCATATGAGGTTACTTTGACTCAACTTGTGAGCATACCTCATTATATTGTGCATGGTTTTTGTTGCTTGACTAAATTGCTTTTTGATTTTCTTGAAGATAGTAGAAGCGGAAAGGATCTCAGTTGACCATGTTTCACATTTAGAGCCAGCTGAGGTGAATCTGCCGCTACCCAATGTGAGCTCATCTGCCTAGTTTCTCAGCGGTTGTCTCAAGTAGCCAAGATGAAAGTAAGTGCAGTCATATGTGTTAAATAACCCACTATTGTCATATGAGTATTAATGTACTATATTTAATTTATTAGATAACCTCTATTTCTATGACATCCTTAATTCGATTTAAAGAAGTAGAGTTGTACTCCACATATTTTTGGACTGAGACTAACCTGTAGTGACCAGCTTCTACTTGACAATACTATGCCTATACAGCTATACTGCATATTCCTTTAATGTTGTAGCTATTTACAGATTGATCTATTTACTTTAAATATTTTTTTATTTACTTTTAAGTAATATTGATTTACTACAAATGTGTAATATACTAGTTCAATTCCTTTTGTTGTCTCACTTTTGACAGTGATGGAAAAGTAGTTCCTCTAATGACCCAAAATCCCCTATGATTGCACATATACTTTATAGGTTTTTTTGGTCTCTACATTTGAGTTTTTTCATTTACTTTTGAGCTATTTTTCTGTACTTTGAATTTTTAATGCACACTAGCCTACTAGCTCAAAGGTACATCATTGTGCAATTGCACAAAAGATGTGGGTTTGAATTCCACGTAGGTTTATTCATTAGATGAAATTATTTTGTATTTACCCTACTTTTGAGATTTTTTTATTTACTTTTAGAATATTTTGAATTACTTTTTACTATTTTGTATCTACTTTTGAGATATATAAGAGAATGACTTGAAAGTACGATGTAAGAGGTCATGTGTAACAAGTTTTTCTTACTCTTTCTTACTATGAAATACTATGTAATGGTACTTTGGAAGAGTCGATTCATATTGTTGCCATATACTGTTTTAATTTTGATTTTTAAAAGCTAATTTTATTTATTTTAGACATAATTTGCTCTACTTTTGATTACTTTAGATATGTTTAAAGGTAGAAATAGAGTTGAAGTTGGGTTCTTAGCCAATCTTTAAAAAATATGACAACATTTTTGAAGTTTTTCGATTTAATGATAGTCAAGGCCCTCCAAACCCAATTAATCGTATGTGTATCTTAGAGCTAATTTGATTTACTTTTTAGTTATTTTGATATACTTTTGAGGTGTCTTGAATAACTTTAGAATGTTTTGTATTTACTTTTAGAGGTAATCTATGAAGGAATCAAACCTACACCTCTATGCATCCGCATAGTGCTCTACCACTTGAGCTAATAGGTTTACTTTAAAATCTTTTTCATTTTACTTTAGATAGATTTAATTTATTACTTTTACTTTAGAGATAATTGATGTAGAAATTACCTTATTCATCTTTTGTATTTTTATGTAGGATCATCTTTTAGAGTAGGATATAGAGTTGTTATGCTATTAACATGTCTGAAATAGATGGCTTAGGGTTTCAAGCATAGGTGCTGGAGCAGGAGCGGACTTGGATTTATGAGGCTCGCATGCTGGAGCAGGAGCTGGAGCAAGAGCAGGCTTAGGTTTGTCAGGTTGGGCAGTTGAGGGAGGGGCAGGCTTGGATGGAGGCTTGATCTCGATGCTCTTAATGGATTTGTCAGCTTTGCAGCAAAGCTTGTTTATGATCTTGTCTGGACTGCAGCAAACCACAGTGATTGTCACCGTGTTATTCTTTTGAGTAAACACTTGGTCTCATATTTCTCGTCATTAAATCAAATCAAATCATATAACTCAGTCCAATTTCATTCATATAAATATCATAAATCCAAGCCTCTTAGCAAGCCTCACTCCCATCCTTGCTGCCAGAGCCTCAGCGAGCTTCACAGATTCAACAGTAGATCTGCCACAGCAAGCAGCTTCCCCTCCAAATCCCGAATACAAACCCCCATCCCCACGCCAATCCCCTCCATAACTGCAGCATCTGTGTTCACTCTCACCCGCCCATCAACCGGGTGCACCCATTTCTCACGAGATAAAACCAATCTCTCCCCTGTACTCACCTGAACATACCCAGCTGCCCCTGATTTAGCAAATGCATAGAGTTAATGGAATGAATGTTATACTAGGTTGCTAGCTTAGGTGCGCTTAGCATTACAAATAATTGAAATACTGTGATTAGCCTAGTTGTCTGCCCAAATGGTTACTAGTTTTGCATAGTTGTTTTGGTGCTGTTTTGGTACTGTTTATAAGATATTTTTATTTACTTTTGACTTATTTCTATTTATTTTTGAATTGATAGTGCCATATTTGTAGGTTCTTTGCTCGGAAGTTCTTAGAGTTGAGCGAAACGGGATGCTGCTATGAACAAGAGTGCAGTCTACATACGTACTGATCATTGGATCAAGGGATCTGTGTATAAGGGAAAATAGTTTCCCTAATAGTATACAGTTTCAAGGACCTGCAGGCAGCGACAGCAAATTGTAGTACTAATCATTGGATTAAGGGATCAATGTATAAGGGAATTGTAAATGGCAATCAGGTGGTAATCAAAAAGATGGATGGAGATGTCAGCAAAGAGATTAATGTACTAAACAAGATCAACCGTTTAAATCTCATTAGATTGTAGGGGGTTTGCTTTTAGGATGGAATTGGTACTATGTCTATGAATATGCAGGTACTATGTCTATGTCTATGAATACGGTTGTTAGCAGATGCATTTTTTTATGATTAAGCTTTTCTTATTTACTTTTGAGTATATTATATTTACTTTTGTTTTATAAAAAAAATAAAAACTATTAATTGTGTTAACGAAATATTCTTACTCTATAATAGCCTACTAGCTCAATAGGTAGAGCATTGTGCAAGTGCACAAAAAGATGTGGGTTCGAATCCCACGTAGGTTTATGTGTGTAATCTCAAGATTAGAATTCCTAATGGTTTATTATATTTTATTTTTTTTTGTTAACTTTTGATATAGTTTTATTTACTTTTAATTTGAAAACTTCTATGTCATATTGAACTCAATATATTTGTTTCTTTTAATAATTTGACTCGCCTTGTAAGGATATGAAAGTCAATGACTCGGAGTTTTTGTGCTATAATAATGTTCCCATAGTCATTTCTCATTTCAAGATATTTATTATTCATATACTTAAGAGCTAATTTGATTTACTTCAATGATACCTTGGTTTACTTTTTAGCATTATTTATTTACTTTAGAGAATTATGATTTACTTTTGACATATATTAATATATTTTTGGATTTTCTTCTTACTTTTGAGAGATTTTGATTTACGTTTGAGGTATTTTGAATAACTTTAGAGTGTTTTGTAATTACTTTTTAAGATAACCTATGTAGGAATCGAACCTACACCTCTATGCGTCCACATAGTGCTCTACCACATGAGCTAACCTCTATGTGTCCGCATAGTGCTCTACCACATGAGCTAATAGGTTTACTTTAAAGTCCTTTTTATTCACTTTTTATTCTTTTTTATTTACTCTTAGAGACAACATATGTATTTCTCATCATGTGAACATTTTTTTGTTGTTGTTGAAAGAAAGTAGTAGCAGATTTTAATTAAGAAATGCTAGCAGAATCTAGCATAACATCATCCATTACACGAGGAGTCAATCCATACTCATATACATATATACACTAACATATTGGGGATATGATTACCAGTGAATGGCTAGTCTACCATAGCCAAATCAGTTGATGGCTAAGAAAGTTCAAAGGAGTTTTGGCAGTGTTTATGAAAGACAAACAAGTAATCAACGTAAAAGAAGATAAGTAATTACTATATTTCCGAAAGCAAGGGAAACAAACCAAAGCTTACCTTACAGCACCACAGAAACCTTCAGGAACAACCCAAACAAGTGAGGTAGTATTGAGTCTGCAAGAAATTGAGTTCTAAGATAAATACAACTCCTTTCATAATCATATATATCAAATTATTCAAAATTAGTCCACTTCCGCCCAAAAGAAAAAGATCGCGAAGTATTAACATGCCAAGTCTACTACGTGTATAGACAGTAATCAGGACTACTCAATACCAGAGCTCAGGTATAATTTACAACAATCCTCTTTTTAGCACTATATCAAACTATGCCTTGAGGCCTTGAATAAATATTTGTGCCATCATGTTAACATGTTGTAAATAAAGAACAGTTCACTACATTTTCTTCTATATGTGACTAATAAATGTTTTTAGATAATAGTTTCATTTTCATGAAGTCATAATCTAAATAGAACAGAAGAGTTTTATTTTTTCATAGAGATAATGCTTAAGTTGAACAACAAAGTGCAATGTTCAAATACCAACCTGATAGAAAGCACTGAAGTTTCTGATGTTGGATTTGGCAGAAGACCAGACAAGAGAACAATCACCTCAAAAGACCACATTTCCAAGCTATTCTAATCACATAAAAGGATGTTCTTTAAAATACTAAATCATAGCACATATCAGATGCTTTCTATAGCATCCAAAATCATTGCAAATGTAAGTCCTTCCCACAAGAATGTAATAGAACCTTACCAGATCATGACAGCAGATGGTATAGCGAGCCTCAGAAGAGCAGGAATACCTTGAAATGATGCTTTGGAGAAGCTGCTGGTCCAAGTTCTTGAACACAAAGAAGAATATTTTACATAAAGTGCTAACAAAAGACAATGCCAAACAACTTCACAATTCAGAGTCCATTCAGATACACATGAAAATTTTTAGACAAGGCGACCGAGTTAGACACTTAGGCACATACATCGTACAACATACAACACTAGTCAGTAGTCACTGAGTTTGAGACTTACTCTTTGGTATGTACGAATCAATTAGGTCTAAATTTCACTCAAAACGTATGGATCATCATATGTCTAAAATTATACAAATCAATATCTAAAATGCAGTAAAACGATAGCAGAATCGTTTACAAAAAAAAAAAAAAAAAAAAAAAAAAAAACCAAAGAAGAGGTAAACTTTTAGCATAAAATAATTACTTTAAAATGTAATTGGTTTACTTTTACTTGGTTTATATCTACATTTGACAACCATAAACAGACAACATATATATGGATTTCTCATAGCAATTTCATCGCACAATTGATATGCAAAGTAACAAAATAAGAACCTTCTTTTGTACTAAAATTAATAAACATCACAGAAAATCCAAATACAACAAAACTATAGAAAAATTCAGAAACATTACTTAATTTCGTGTAAAATTTCAAATGTAGCTCTAAATTTCACTCAAATTAGGTCTAAATTTCACTCAAATTGTACACATAATCAATCAAACTTTGCTGAAAGTGTAACAAAAAGATTTTCACTTAAAATCATTCCAAAAATCACACACACTCAATCATAAGCAATTCTCACAAGAATTAACTCAAACATACGATCGATTAAAAACTTCGACAATTAAAATTTGATTACACTAATTATACCTTCTTGAACTCCATATACATCTCGGTGAAGAACTGAGAGTCATTGAAAAAATTTGAACAAAATTCACGAAATTAGACAAGCAAATCTCCATTCTCCACCAAGATCTCGATCAATTTGTAGCAAATTATACCTAATTTTGATACAAATTTTCCAAAATGCAAAGAAAATTGAAGAAAGAGAAAGTAACGAAGAATGAGAAATACAAATTTTGGAATTGCAATTACTTTTTCTGATTTAATCACAACCGCTCATTTTGTTTAGATCTGACGGTCTAGATTAGTTCCTAGTTCTTATTATAGGATTGGTTCTCGTTATAACCTGGTCATATATATATATATATATATATATATATATATATATGAAACTTATCAGAGTATATATTATTAAGTATTGTTTGTATGAAAATGATTATTAATATTTACTTCTTTTGTTCTATTTTTGAAACAATATTTCGCAACATTAGGGGTTTCACGCTTGCCATGTCATGCACATGTTATAAATTATAACTTATAAATTGTATTTTATTTAAAAGGTTGATATTATGAAACTATATTTCGAAGAAAATCTAACAATATATCATATATAGGTGTATTATAATTTCTTTAACCTATAAATCAAAAATGATGATCAAAGGAGTGTAAATAAATAAGATTGAATTTGAAATGTGGAATTTTTTTTTTTAAAAAAAGAGGAAATATAACTTAAATAACCTAATAAAAGTACTCTTCATTTGTAATCACTTTTTAGTGCATATCGCATGTATGATTAAATATATAGTCCCCTATTTATTATTTTGCCCATAGGCCTCACAAAAGTTAGAAACGACCCTAGATACGAGCTTATCATCTATTAATCCATTAGTTGTACATGATAAATCATATTACATGCCTTTAAAGATCGTAATAATATAGAACATGTGATCTTATAATACGTGTGATATTAGAACAATCTTAGGTCTAGAACTAATTTATCTCATCAATTATTATTGGTTCATGATTAGTCATATTAGCTGCCTCTAAAAATCATGTGTGTATATATATATATATATAATCTCATTTTTTTTTTGTTTTTGTTTTTGTAAAACCCCTTGAAAAAATACTGACTTTTGTTGCTTATGTGACTCTAATTTTTTTTAATAGTATTTGATTTTTTTTAAAAAAAATTAGTGAATATTGTAAATTTTATCCATAATAGTTATATTAAGATAATTTTTTAAAATTAATTTTAAAATTGTGAATTTCTTTAAAATATTAACATTACATTCTTTTCCTTTTTTTTTGGCTATAAACCCCTTGAAAAATACTTACTGTAGTTGCTTTTGTGACTATTTTTTTTTAAAGATAATTGATAAATATGTAGTACTTGATTTAAAAATACTATGTAATAATTTGAGAATATTGAAATTAAATCCATAATAGTTTTATTAAGATATTTTTGGTTTTTTTGAAGGAAAGATAGCTCTAGCTCTTATTATGTTAAAGATAATTTTTTAAAATTAATTTACAATTATTGATATCATTAGTTGATTGCTGCTTATACAACACTTGAAGTTTTTTTAATAAAACAAAACTTAATCTCTTTTATGATTCGTTGGATTTGGATTTTGTAGAATATGCAGGTTATTCATTATAAATCATTTATGTTAGTTATGCGATTAGAATTGGATTTTGTAGATTTTCATTCTTTTTGAAGGAATTATATACTATTTTTTAAAAAATAAAAATAAAGTCATCTATTTTTTTGGAGAATATAATAAGCTTATCTTTTTTTTAGGGTAAAATAAAGTTATCTATTAATTATGTAATATGTTCTTGTAAAAATAAAATAATTCTAGCTTTTTTTTGACAAAAAAATAATTCTAGCTTAATATACCTAAAATACGTAATAATAAGTGATGAATCATATTTATATAGGGTTCTTAGGCACGTTTATGTTAGTTTTTATACCTTTCTCTTAGTCTTTTTGGTCGATGTTTGGGTCATATTTGTATAAGTCATCATATATTGCTCTATTACGCTTCTTTTGTGTATTTCTTAATGTTTAAGGTGATTTCATAGTCATTTGGACGCTTTTGGAAGTGTTTGGAGATGATTCGAATGATATTTGAATGGAAATCGATGGATCGAGTTCATTGACCGAGGGATTGATGCTCGTGGATGTTGTCTCTAATGATTATATGCATGGGAATTGAAAATAGCATCTACAAGGATCGATATGCACTTTTCGGAATTGAATGAGTTAGAAACAAAGGAAAACGAAGGCTTGCAAAGTATCAAAAATGGCCCTTGTGCATTGTTTCAGCCATATCTCGAGTTCTACATATCAGGTTGAGGTGATTCAAGTTGGGTTGGAAACTAGGCTTGAAGAGATTTCCAATGATAGGTCGCAAACCTTCATACGATTCTTATATTGTGAGTTACAGCCTTCCAAAGTCGGTCTTGCATATCTGCAAGTCAAGCGCCAAGCCATCGAGCGATGCCTGCCCGATGATTTAGCCGCATATACGATCTCTGGAATCTTCCTAGCCCAATGGAAATTCATCGGCCAATGGTCTTCGTCGCAGCCCTTGATCACTCAACCATCGGCCATCCATCGGGCGATGTGTCTGGCGTGCGACATATTGCTTTCCGTCGATTGTAATTCTCGCGACCAATTAAAAGACGACCATTTTTTATTTTTATTTTTATTTCTATTTCTATTTTATTTATTTTATTTTACTTAGGATTAGGCTTTTTTATAAAAATGTGGGAGAGGATTTTATTTCCTTTTTTA